TTTTTTTTTTTTTTTTTTTTTTTTTTTTTTTTTTTTTTTTTTTTTTTTTTCCTGATCTTGAAAGCATAAGGATGCAAAATGACTTTCTCTCAATATATCTAATGGCACGTCAAATGGAGAATGTGAAACATTATCTTTTTCAAAAAACTACGGGCGTTTAGTTGCAAAATCTATTTATAAAGTAAGTACATTTTATTATTACTATAAAAAGCTTGACTCGGTAACATCAAAGGTAACACCCAACTTCTTGAGTAACAGATAAACCGTGCGCAATCGTAAATATTTTAAGAAGAATATTTTCCAACAATTATATATTGCCGTCCACCATTTTATTCTTGCTCTAATCGTGCAACTCTCATATTGATTTCAGTCGTGCAATCGAATACTATTGATTTACTAAATGATTTAGTAACTAATTAGAAAAGAATATGAAATTTAAATTTTGTTCACACCGTTATAAATAACATTTTTTGGTTTAAAATAACATAGCCCTATTTTAAGAAACGTTGTCATCGCCAAAGGCGATAGTCCATTCCGACATGGGAATGGTTTCGTTGAATACAATCAAGAACAACGAAACACACTAAGGTCCATGTTCTTGACGAGAATAAGAAGCAGACACACAAGTCATTCCAGCTATTCTTGGATCTTGGAATCAGACCTCTCTCCTATCGCTTTTTGTCTATCGCCTATTGCCTATCGACTATGGGGACGACAACCTTTATTGAAATATAGGTGTATACACTAAGCGATTTCTGCTATTGATAACCGGATGAACAGCTATTTCGAAAAGATTGCTGCAGGGTTTTATTTGCGTTGTATACCAAGCCCGAAATGCACTGTGGACGATGTGAATGCAATATTGTTTTCATATGAATATAGTACATCAGTAAGCAACATGAAACGTACAACAAAACCTTCAAGACAAAGGTGCCAAATATGAACGGTCCTAAGCAAAATGCGATCGGTCCCAATCCGATCTAAGCCAAGACCACCGCGAGGGGTGGTCTCG